CCCAAACCCGAAGGGGACAGCTACTGAGAAAAAAAACAATTTTAAGCTCCTAGCTAAAGACAAGGAAATATTCGACAGGATGCATGCATCTGCATGTACGGAAGCTCAAACAGGTTTGTCTGAGTCATCTGACAAAGGGAAATAGCAAGCAGCATAAAAGACTCGTCAGAATGAAACAAACATATGAATTCGGATTTCCTTTTGCATGAATTGATGAACCAGGAAAGGGGCAAATAATGCAGCAGTGAATAATACAAGGAGAAGCAAAAAAGCTAGTACAATGTGTATTCAAGGGAGCTTTAGCAGGAAAAAATAAATTGTTTTAATTAAGTAACGGATTTAAGGGACTATAAATATAAAAAATCTGACTAGGTGAGCGAATTCCCGGAGGCAAAGCCATTTAGAAAGGAATTGAGGAGAAAACAAAGCATGTATACAATTCAGTTCACGATGATAGTCAATTTATAAGCATATTTTTAATAAAGCAGAGCGGGTGAGAATTAGGTTGATTTGTTGGAAAGGCAAAAGTAGAGTAAAGCCACTAAAAGGCAAAATGATTGATTGACTTTATGAAAATAGCTAATAACATAACAGGAGAAAATAGGATAAATAGAAGGGACGCCCTAGAGCAAAGGAAGTGATTACTATGACCTGAAAATGGTCGCATAATCACCCTCGCCTGATTGTAATCAGATTGAGTGAAAGAATAAAGGATTCTGTAGTGATCGAGAATTGGGGGGAGAGGAAAAAGGAAACAAATACTATTGATCAATCAGACCATAAATTAGCAATATTCTGCAAGACAAAGCATGCAGGTCTGACTATATCTTAGTATGCCTTACGGAAGCAAGAAAGAATAGATGGATTTCTCCTATCGCTTTTGACATAAGTCCTCTTCCATTGGTACCCTTAATTTTCTAATTCATGCTATGGAAATTGGCTTGTTTCCTAAAGCATTGAGAAGCCAGTGTACCAGTGTGGATGGTATTTCAACTTGCACTAGCCATAAGTCCTGGAACGGGTGTTGAAACGGATGATATGATGGAGGGCGAAGTATAGATAGCAGCCAAATTCGTGGAATTATTAGTATTGGTGGCGACAACACTATTGATTCCAGTTCCGCAGGCAGTGAGATAAGTAGGTAGATGAGGATGAAGAACCACGCTTGGTGTTAGGGTACTGTTGGCCGAGGGTAATAATGTAGGCGTCACAGAAGTCGTAGCTAGAATGAGGACCTGTTGTTCCGAGGGATTAAGGTTCAGAGATACTGAACGCTGGGTAGCGGGATCAAAGATCGGCCTCCTTTGCTGAAAATGGTGCTGCTGCTGACTCTGATTAAACTGTTGTTGATTTCGTGTTTGAACTGGGGCTGATACCAGAGTGGTCTGTCCTAAGCCCGGCTGCGAAATTTGCAGTTCAGGCTGTAAGATCCGTCCATCAGTTAAATGCGGACTGTCAGATTGTAGATCCAAAGTCGGCTGATGAGCCATTAAGCAAGATGAAATTAGTCTTTCTGGTGGCTGCGTGAACTGAGGTACTGGTGCAGTCAGTGATCTAGTCAGATGACCCGTGGATCCAGCATTTGAACGAAAAGAGGGTGCTGATTTTTCCGTAAAGGATTGTAGGGAAGTTGTTATTTTAGAGTTTGTTGAAGTGATAGCAATAGTTGTGGCAGCTGCGAGGATAGACGAAGAGGGTGGAGAAGAGGAAGATGCGGACGCTATGGAGGAAAAGGAAAGAGGCGGAGATGGAGAGGAAGAAGATGGAGAGGTGACGGAAAATGGAGGGGCAGAAAAGCTTGCCAAAAGGCTCTTCTCGCTGGTTGGTTCACTAGTGAGGAGTGAAGAGGAGCAGGAAGAAGAACTAAGAGAGGCGTCAGCAAAGTTAATCTGGCCGGGAGATGAAAACTGCATCCACTCAATGTAGTCTCCATCTGCAGCTAAATGGAGTGTATAAAGGATATAAATAAATTTTAAATACTTTTAGACTTCAGTTTAAGGACTAAGCAGTAGTAAAAAGTGGATAAGTAAAAATGTATAGATAAATCAACAAAAGCTGTAAAAATCAAGGTTAAATAAATGAGAATGAGAATAAGATAGAAGTAGGGCATGTAGCTTAAGGCTTCACAGCCTCATAGTAAAAATCGTCTAGAAGACAAAGCTAAATAGTATGGGAACCTAAAATCCGTTATGATGATGATAGATATGCAAAGCTTGGATTAGGTCGAAGATAAGATAACTAAAATTGAATAAGAAATATGCAAATTCAGTGCTAAACAACTAGCGCATCAGACATAAATATACATTTTCAGTGAATAGCAATAGTCCATGGCAATGTCCCGGCTATATTAATATAATGTGGAAGTTAGAATAAGCGGTTGCTGTTTTCCAGCTTTTGCCAAATATAAAAAACTGCGAATAAAAGAGATTAAGCAAATCGGTTATTAATTTACACTAACCCGATGATTGTATCAAGTTTGACTTAATTTTTCCGAGAGAAAGATCCATTTGGCCAAAAGAAGCCTCCCCAAGGATCGCCTTGTTCGGAATGTTTGAATGATTGCAAGCAGTACTAGAAGTGGCATTAATGATAGAGCCGACAACAGTAGGCATACCAGTTGCCAGCATAACTGGTCCAGAGTTTGGAAAGCCAAGAACCAGGCCCTCAGTTGAAGATACAAGCGGTGAGAAGGTCTGGCATGCATGGTCCGAGGGTGAGGAGGAAAATTCACTATATGTGATGGTATTTGCAGTAGTCATAGTAGCAGGTGATTTTGCATTCGTTGTAACTGAAGCCTTAGAAGATAATGTTGTATCGAAATCGCCCGTGGCAGCAGATCTAGGAACAACGTCGATAGAGAAACGATCTGTCGAGTGTGTGTATAGTGGATAGGGATTAGTGGTCTTGTCACTTAGACTCGTGTCTATTTTCTCAGATTCTGAGATACTGCAGAAGGTCGATGAATCAAAGGGCTTGGAGAATGAGGGAGATGTATAAGCTCCTTTAAGAGTACTAGAGGTAGTAGATGAAGTGGTGGTAGTGATTAAAGATGATGATTGATTGTGAATTTTGGCTGCCGGTGTCTGTCTGCCTATCATCTGACCAACGCTCGAATACTTAGACGACCAAGTAACGGCAGCAGAGGGCAGCGAATGTCCCAGAGCTGAGCCACTCACAATGCCGGAGCCAAGAGAGGCTGTTATTTTCTCTTTGTCAGCTATCAGAAGAGGACTGGGTTGGAGGGTGACCTCAGAGTCAAATAGGTGGTTTCTACTTTTGGAGTCCAATATATCAACTTCCGAGAACCCGGTTATGTTACCGCCAGAATAGGCTACAGGGAGAGAAGAAGCTGTTGTTAGCGGAGTAGAAATCCGACGCACAAATTGAGAGGCTTCTTCCAACGTAGTAACGGCTGCACCCGATGCTGGCAGAAAGCCGGAAAGATTTGTTCCACAATAAGACGAGGTCGTAGTTGTGGTAGATATAGTAGGTGGAATAGAACGTATACGAGACAGGAGCATAGTCTTTGGTTTACTATAGCTTGAAACTTCGACAGGCAGAATAGACATCGTTTGCTTCGAGTCGGCAGTCTTTACTCCGCGAGAGGCTCGTGAAGCTGAAGGCTGTCGAGTAGAGATTAAGCCTGTCCTGCTGGAGCCAAGCTTAGCCTCACCAGAAGCCATCTGTGTGTTGCTATTAAGAGATTTTACAGAGGCCGTTGGAGTAGTGGCGAGGTATGTCGATATAGAGGTTGGTATTGGCACTGAGGTTGAACCCAGGACGTGAGTGGGCGTTGGTTGAGATGTAGCTAAGGGAGAACGGATATGAGTCTGCGAAAGCGTGGATGTAGAAGATAAGTGCGTAGACATCAAGGGAATTGCCAAAGAAGTGCTTGTGGAAGAGTTGGCCATAGAAAACTGTCCATGTTGAGTAGAGGAAAACAAAGGGCTAGCAGCCACAACACCTGTAATGCTGTCGTTGGTGCTGTTGTAATTACTAATGTCACAGCCTGAGATATCATGAGGTGAGAGGATTGTAGTATTTCTACTGGTTGGGATGAAGGTGGTCAGTTCAGAAACCGGGTCTGTAGAGGGTTGGAATGAAGCCGTAGTAGCAGATTGTAGAAGGAAGGTACCATCTGGTTGGGGCAGCAGAACCTATAAAATGTTGTAAATGTCATTAATACCCAAAGAAGTAATGAATTAAAAAAAATAAAAAAATAGCTCATACCATCATTAAAGTTTAATAACCAAAAATAAAGATAAGTAAAAACCTAAAGCTATACACGCATCAATGTTAATAAATGTTTTTGCTTATGGTGATAGTGATGAGGTATCGGTTAATAGCAATATGCAAAAACGGTTAGACTAAGTTCAAATTATAAAGTCGGTAAAAATGATTATACGAAATCCACATAGTTTCTTGATAGATCTTTCTGGATTAAATAGAAAAAAGCTTAAGAAGTTTGTGTGGTCATCAGTAAATAAGGAACTAAAATCTTTTTACGAGTCTACATGTTATAAATCTGAGTAGAAAGCAGTGTGGAAAGTTGCCATGACGTATA